CCAGCGTGGAGTCTTAGTTAGTCAGCGCCACAATGAGATACGCGATCTACAGGCCGAGCTGCTTGACATGGTTTGTTACGATGTGCAAGTTGAACCGGCACTAAAACCTGTTACGGGCAAAGAGCTTGCCAGAGGGACTAATCAAGCCCCTGATGCACGCCTTGACGTCCACTGTAGGGGTTTCCGGGAGCGACAGAGGGCTGCATTTTTCGATATAAGGGTGTGTCATCCCAATGCGGACTCGTATAGAGATCTTAGCCCCAAGCAAATCTACAGGATTCATGAAAATGAAAAGAAGCGAAAATACAACTCTCGCGTCACAGAAATAGGGAAAGGCACATTTACCCCACTGGTACTTACAACAACGGGAGGGATGGCTGACGAATGCCTGAGATACCACTCAAGATTAGCCGAGCTATTATCTGCAAAAAAGCAAGAGAGCTACACCACTGCAATTTCATGGGTCAGGGCGAAAGTGTCCTTTGCGATTTTGCGGAGCGCACTCCTATGCCTAAGGGGATCGAGAACCCCAAGAAGGAGGAACTTAGATGTTAAGGACAGGGATCTAGAAATAGAGAAGGGTCAAGCAGGACTTACCTAGACTCAACAGCTATAAATACTTTATTATTGGGATGTACATAGAAATTTTCATTTTTCGTTTATAGACAGTTGTTTACATTTGCTCGGTTGAAAACCACCAGACCATCAAGAAGTCTTTTTTAACTATAGTTATACTAAATTTATATTTAATTTTCAATTTGAGAAGAGTTTAATAAGGTATTTATTAAATTATTATTATTATTATTATTATTATTATTATTATTATTGTTATTATTATTATTATTATTATTATTATTATTATTATTATGTCTCTAGTGCGGATATCTGAAATACGTGTCTATATGCTTTTATACTTAGGGCTTTTTATGGACACTGGTTTAGCCGTCATTAGTATAATTCGATTGCAGGATCTTAAAATCTCTGCAAAATGGAATTCTTAATTTTATAGAATTTTGAACTTTTATTATTAATTATATCTATTTCCTCTTCTTTTATGTAAGGTTAAGTTACTTCTATTTTTTAGAATTTGTAAATGAATAGTTTTTTCTATCTTCACTTATAATATATAGGATTGTTTTTGTTCTCTAATGAAGGAGGAGGGGTTTCTTTTGTAACGGATGGAATTGTAGATAGTGTTTTGATGAATTAATTAGATTTTTTGTAACAGCAGGTTGATTGTAAATAGGATTTTAATTGCGGTTTTGTAATAAAGATTCTTTTCTTTTTTATTATCATCATTATTATTATTATTATTATTATTATTATTATTATTATTATTATTATCATCATCATCAACAACAATATCATTTGGATTCGCTGAAAACGGAGCTCTTAGGCCCATGATATAAAAAAGCATAATTGACAATACGGTCTTTTTAGGAATTTATCTTTTCAATATTTTGACTTATTATAGGCGCGACGTTACTTTTCCTCCTCTTTCCTTGGGAAAAAAAAGCAGCGGCCCAATCTATATCTACTAAATATCTGCATTAATGATCTAGGAAACGAACACCTACTTAATGTTATGAGTGTCCTCTGGCGGAAAAAGCAAGGATTAAAATTTAGCTGTAAATGGATTGAAACGTGCGGCCTCTTTTTCTCACCGCCCTTCAACACGCGTGTCAAATGCATACATCTGTCCACCATTCATGAGCTTATAGAAATGGAGAATTTTTTAACACGCAAAGCTCCTGCAATCCTGTAGGATGTTCCTATAGGAATAGGAACCAAAATTTTTCTTGTCCGCACCATCACTTTTTAAAGTGCAATCGCATCTGACACTTAAATTCTCATTAAAGGAATAAAAAAGGGTATCAAAAGCATTTGAGCGACGTAATCGGGTGAGATTCGGGGCAAAATGGTTCAACAAGTTAACAATTACAGCAGTGTTAATGAAAAATTCTTAAGCTTTGCAACCTTCCTACATTGAAAAGACCTGAAAAAAAGCCACCCATAAGCCGTGTATAAACAAAAGCACATACTATGATGCCAGTAATAAATACCAACACGAATGCTTCTTGGGGGCGGCTGATGACAGATCATTGACCGGGGGGCCAGCTCCTAAAAAATTCAGGAGGGGAAGTGCTTGTCTTCTAAAACTCTGTGAGCAATGAACAGTTTTTTTCCTCGTTACGATGAATTTAGACCTCGCGGTTACCCATGGCTCCTCGCGGGCATAGGACCACCTGCTTTTAGGGGGAAAATAAGCCGCCAAGTTCTTTGCCCCAGTCAGTGGCCTGTGATGTAACTTTGTCAAGTTTTTTAAGAACAGTAACCATCTTCATACAATACGAGCAAATAAAAGACATGTTTTCGCATGATATTTGTTATTTGGGTTTTACTGCTTCGCACGATTAAAAGTGAGTTGGAGCGTGGGAATCGTCTACTACATGTTCTGCTGATACCGTCAAAAACCTTGACCCTATTAGAACCCAAACTATGCTATTTTCGCATCCTTATTTAACACCCGGAACCGCTGTACTCAAGAGGCAATCGATAAAGAAATAATTCATCCAATTAAAGATCTCTGGGGATTGTCGTGTACACCTCAAGTCATGCAGATCAAATTTAGCACTTTACGTCTGGGGTTAAAATAAGAGTACCTGTCTAAGTCACATTCTTTGATGATGATTTCTCCTACCACATAAGCGACAATTCCTAATAATTAGCTGACGAAATTCAATATTTCGAGGCTTCTTCTGTAACGTTCAGTTGTCCGTATCATATGGTGTAAAAATGGCTTTTTTTTTTCACTCTGAAATCCAGTAACCTTTCATTTTTTTGTCACCCGCAATGAGATAAATGGCAAAAGTATGCACAACTAAGAAAGTTGCATGAATAAGACCTTGTTCAAAGATAATTCCTGCACACATTTTATTCTTTTTTTGCCTTGAAAACACACTAAAACGAAAAAGATTGAAAAATCAGAAAATCGCTCCATTTTCAAGTTAAGATCTATCATTCGTCTGACGCGAATTATCCAACGGACAACCTCTCTCAGACGGATAATCCGTCTCTAGCGAGAAAACGGCCATTTTTACTTATTACAAAAGAGAACATTGCTCAATATATATTTATCTAGTATTTATGTGGATGATAAAGAAGCTGGTGATGTCATAGTTACTAAAGTGGAACCTTGATATAACGAAGGGCCAAGGGACTGGCAAAATTTGTTCGCTATAACGAGGTTTCGATTCGTTGATCGACGTTCTTTTTCATATTTCATTTTTACTGGGGCAAAGAAAATCGTTCACTTTACCGAGGACTTCGTTGTATAGAGGTTCGCTATATCAAGGTTCCACTGTAATCACTGTAATGCATAACATGTTCGAGAAAACCTCAAAAACTGCGGGAATAGATGAAAGCACCATAAAAACGTGCGAGATAAATAAGGCAAATAAATCGTATCCCCGGATTTTCGTTTTCTAGGATTTATTATGGTCGCTCGACCGTGTAATTTTGTTGACGAAACTCGCGAACTACGGAGTGGAGGGTAAACATTAACATGGTTTAGATCTTACCTAGAAAACAGGCAGCAATTTTGAATGGTAAATAGGGTGTCATCTGTTAACAACTGTCAGGTTTTATGTGGACTACCACTGGGCTCTATATTAGGCCTATTTTTGTTTCTCGTTTATATTAAAGACAAACTGCTTAGTTAATAGTACAGGAGGGTCATTTACGGGCGACACAAATTTAACGTTCCCTGCCATAAATTTTTTGGTTCTTCAAACTAAAATTTAATGAGCTACGACCTTGATAGAATATTCTCTTGGCTCTGCTTTAATAAACTGGCGTTTAATATTCTGAAAACAGATTGATACCTTGGTTAATAAAGTTTGTATTCATTCATTCGTTCTATAAATAGCTTGAAAATTCTAATGTGCTCTGACATAATCTTTACAGGAGAAATGGAATCTCTGCATTGATGGGCTCCAGCGTGCGATCCTGTGGCAAATCAGAGACTGGTCTCGATCGCACTACTAGGTTCCACTGGGTCAGCATCCCTTTGGATGCTTTTAGTCTACCTTGAGTGACATTATTTTCATGCATGTTTTGAGCTACAGTTATGTGTACTTAACTAAGACGTGTATGTAAGTAAGAACTTAGAATACAGGAAACCACACAACATCTACAGATATATGTGTGCTATTTGGTCTCAAATGTCTACCGTATAATACTTTTAAGACTGAGTAGAAATACTATCTTACTTCTACTCTGCATGCTCCATCACTGATATAATTTGAGTTTTTTTTCTCTCTCTCTCTCTTCTTTTCTGCCACCTACCTGAAGGTGGCGATGTCCAAATAGAACGCTCTTGCTACTTTGGACACTGCACAGTCACACACATATTATCTCTTCCTAGCCTAATGGGCCCGGTTTCTCGAAGATGGTTAAGCACAACCCAAGATTAGGCCAAATTTTAAGCACGGTCTTCTTGTCTACGAACATATACATGTATCTCAAGCTTACAAAATGCTTTTGAGCCTTTTCTCTGAGATACAGTTATGATAACACCAAGCGTTACTCTAAGCAATGCACAGGAATGTAAATGCACAAAGTGGAACAAAGTTTTAATCCTGGGTAAGCGCTACTCGGCCTTTCAGGAACCGGGCCTATGATTACTTATTATCCGTTTCCTTCTTCTTCTATTAGTCTGTACATTTATAACTTGTATAAATACCTTATTTAGTTAAAAAAAAGTAATATAATTGAATTGAATTGAATTGTGATTAGTTTGGAATACTAACCGGCTAGACAAGTGCAACTTTGAAACAGCCAAACAATATAAGCTTTTACAAATTTTGTATTATGTTTGGAATATTATGATTTAAACAAACATATCTAACTGTTATACTTTTTCTTTCATAATCCACAGTCATTGATATTCCCGGCACCAAGATAAGTTGACTTGGTTATGCTGTATATGCCTCTCCTCCTTACTTTCCTCCATCTGATCTTGTCTTTGCTCTTTCTCGTTTGTACTTCATCCTTCTGTTCTGGAACCACACCTTAACCTGTCTTTCTGTCAGGTTTAACTCGTTTGCCAGCTTCATTCTTTTCAAACCAACCACGTACATATCCATTGAAAACTCCTCCTCCAAACGTTCCAACTGCATGGGGGTGAACGAAGTCCTGCTTCGCTTGGGTTTTGGACTTGGAAGACTGGGACGCGGTTGTGAAAGTGACGGTCTGGTACCTGGAAGATAATCATCAATGTAAGCATGACTGTGAATTATACAGTCCCGCATACCATGGTAGAGGGGGGAGGTACATAATAGGGAGGAGGGAGAAATGGCCCGAAAAAGTAAGGAGGAGGAAGATATTGGCTGAAAAAGTAGGAAGAAGAGAGGTCTACCCTACCTCCCCCTCGTGGTAGAGGAGGAAGTTTAAGGTTAGCATTAGGTAACATCGGCTGAAGTCAGATTGTTTCTTTCAGTAAAATTACATGAAGAACAACTTAAGTCCAACTTTACTGTGTAATATAAAATGACATAGAAAAAATCCACTATAATGATTTGAACCCGGGTCAATTGCTTTATAGCCTACATCCATATCCACTACACCATCGAGGACTAGCTGCCAAATCCAATAATTTTTAAAATATACATGTTCTTATGCCGTACCCCATTACAACATTTGAAAGCTAACCGTTTTCAGTTCAGTGCTCAACCCTAATCACTGCAGATCAGTGCTTAACTCTCTCCTGTGTTCTCTCCATAACTGGCGCCCTGTAGTTTTGGTTTCTTCAGCTATTCTAGCCTCACTCTACATTCCAGTCTCGTTCCATTATGGAAATAATGCGTTGTGTAAAATTCATAAGGTGTCCAATCTGGCTTCACTCGATGTTATCTAACGGTAACCGTAGTTTAAAGGGGCTTCCCAGGATATTGCTATTTTAGATAAATTCTGTACTGAAGTCATTACTAAGTGCCTTTACTCACACATCTAAGGCTCCTGTAGAGTTATTAAGAAGATATCAAGAAAAAAATTCATTAGGGAGCATAAACAATAATAATTTTTGGTGATTTCGGGGGACAAAGAATTCAAACTTCAAAGAAATTGGACATGAATTGAACTTGAAAAAGGTGGGCCCGACTTTTTCAAGTTTCATTTCATGTTATTTCTTGCCATCCGTTGCTGATTGGAATTTACTAACAGCCTTTAAAGCCTCAGGGGGGGCACTCCCTTATAATTAGTCATATAGGTATGTGCCGCCCCAAAGGGTATGGTTTTCGCGCAATTTCGGTCTGAAAACAGGTATAGACTTTGCCCATCAGATTTTGGTTTAAACTTAGGTATTGTTTTCGAGGGAACTATGGGAGTGTGTGAAGGTATTTGTCGTTTCAATTCTACTGTACATGAATAAGAAAGAAAGAGTAAGATGCGCATTCGAATCTTTGTGTTGGCGTTCTTATCTAAGGAGTGATGACCTAATTTCTGCCTTTGCCAGGTCTGAAAACAGGTATGGATTTTAGAGGCCAGGGGCCCGTTTCTCGAAAGTCCCGGTAACTTTTCGGGCCAGAAATCAAATGTTTAAATCGAAATATAAAGAATAAGGTCCCGGGTCCTGGCTAGCAAACTACTCCATTGTGTTGCACTAACTGGTAGCTTTACCATGATAGCTGCAAAACTTTTCAAACCTCTATCTTGCATGTAAACAAAAACAGCTTAACGGGCCCGTTAGTTATCGGGGCTTTCGAGAAACGGGTCCCTGGTCTCAAAATGGGTGTGGGAAATTACATGTTTCATGGTCTGTAACAGCGTCAGGGTTTGAAGAACCGGGCGGCACATCCCCACCAAGAATTTCGAGGAGTACCGCGTCGAGGTCTCAAGCACAAAAAAATCATTCATCCCGCCGATGCTTTTTTCCTGTTAAAATCTCCTCCGTATACTGTTCGATAACGCGCACCGTTGCGTCCCCATTTCTTTCCATATGAGGGAAAATAAATTTTAAAAAATGGCAGTCAAAGCTCTTACAGTCATCCGTTGGGATTTGGAAAAGGAAAATGTTACGAAGAGGAGAAAATTGGTTACCCTGGGTGCCAGGGATTATTTTCTTAATCATTACTGGTAAAATCGCGCAGTGGAGCGTGATGTGTGAAGCTTAAAACAAGAAGAACTGGGGCTTCTCATGCAAGACAAGTTGAAGGTTGCTTGCGTGAGAGCTTCACCTACCGGCTACTTCTTCGCACGCTATGGCGAAGTGATCATAATGTTGATAATTACCAAGAGAAGAGCTAAACTGATCTGTCATGACCTTTTCAGCCTTTTTCCCCTTTTTTGCTTGGATATACATATATCCGTCTTGAACATTTTGATGTCCATTATGCCAAAATGCAATTTTTATTGCATGGGGTTTTCGCTTTTCGAAAATTAAATACTATTTTTTTTTTTTTTAAACCCACTGGAAACCGTTTATTTATGAATAAAGCTAATTAGCAATATGCTGTCTTGTTCCACATTGTCTGTCCCTATTGGCATCATAACAATTACAACTGCATCAAATAATTACGCTCTAAAAGATCCACATTGACTTCCGTTGCACCGCAGGTATCATTCGCACGAGAGCTATTTACAATTTCCATTATATTTTTACTTTGAAAACCTCAAAATTCAGGAATGTTTGTTATCAAACACATCAAAAATGCCTCCTTTATATCACTAACCGCTGAGGACAGATATCTTGTGTACAGGGCCTATTGCGGGCAAATGCATTTGTCAGATGAAGAAATAGAACAGAACTCCTCTGGAATTTTGAGAAAACTTAATGATGATTTCACGCTGAGCAAAAATATTACTTTGCGACAAATCATAAATGATTAAAAAGCTTTAAATAATGGTAAAAAGGCCAAAACAAAGATTTTCAGAATATTTATAAACGCTTTTTGAAACCTTAGTCTCAGATGTTTTTATTGGCAAAGAAAACATGTACTTTCTCCAAAATCTTATGAATTGTTTTCTTTTTGTTCTCTTCGGATTTAATAATTCAACGCTAAATGACGCATTATATGTACTTAAGTGTCTTCGGATACGAATTAAATATCCTTAACTACTGCTAAAACATTTAGAAGTACTAAAAATTAAAAAAGAGTTTTAAGAATACCTGTTTTTACTTCCACCACATTGTCGCCTATATTCGCAACAGGTCTCGAGTCTTCGTGGGATGCTCGTGAATGTGCGAAAATTTGCGAGCTGTAGACCAGCCTTTGAAGACCAACAAGCGAGCCTCTCCGGGAACCATCTAACGAAACAAGAGGCGGGGGAGATCTACGAGGCCTCATCTCTTCTCGATGGCGAAACGAAGACGAAGTTTCAGACGAAGAAGAATCATGCATTTTAAACTCTTCACAACTACTTTCAGTCAGAAGTTAAATGTCAAGTTAAAAACTCAACTTAGGGGTGGTTGAAATCAGAAAAGCCGGGTTTTTTGGCCGACAGAACAATTACAATACCTTAAAACGTCGATAAAAAATTTCTCACAATAGATACACAGAGGAATCTCCTCCTAACTTAACTTTCACGTCTGTAAAAGCTGTGAAAAATCAACTTTTCGTTTTCAAATTAAATAAACTGAACACCCCTCCGAATGATGGCAATGACAAGTCTTTAGTGGCTTTTTGACCTCTTATTACAAGCGAATCATACATTTTTAATAAAGATCTTAAAGCTTTTCCATCTCGCTTGATTGGCGAATGGTTTATTTAATTTTCTCATGTATCTTTCTTGTTATGTCTTTAACTGATTAAGTGCTTTTTCTCTCAGCACTAATGGACTTTGACTCGCGAAAATTATTTGTAGCTTATGCATGGATCTACAGAACAATATATGTGTTACCAAAGCCTTTAAAAAAGAACTCAATATCATTCCGTTTTATGCTTGATGTTCTACGCCAGATTTTTACTGAAATTTTCATGATTATCCAAATAATGAAATTATCATTGCTACACGGGGAGTCTGGGAAATCTAGTCCGCTTTTGATTACTCAAAATTACTAATAGACGGGATCCAGATTAGGCATAATCATAGCAAAACAAAAATATGTATTATCAAAAAATAAAAGTTTTTCGTAATTTATTCGATTGTAATCGTGTTAAAAAAGGAAGCGCGGGACACAAAATTAATAACGCTAACATCGTTCCAGAATATTGCTATTAAGACTCACGGTTGAAGCTTAAAAGAGAATGACTTTAGAAACTCTGGCTCATCAAAATTAAGTTTAGTTCATTAATATTTCAAGGATGAATTCATTGCCGCATTTTTTCACATGTTGTTCGCAAAAGCTTTTTATCCACGGAAATTAACTAATTGACTAAGAGAAGGCGGGCAAAAACTTAGGAACGCCTCGAATTATTTCGACTAGAAGGTATCCTTGCTTAATTTGAGTATGGACTCCTCACCAAAGTCAGTATCCATTCTGAGTGAAATTACCAAATAATTGTAGACTGTTGTAGTTTTGCAAGCCGGCAAGATCAAATTGAAGGCGATGTTATGTTCAAAAATTTCTCATCAGCTCAATCGTAATACCCTGGCCGTGGCTAGTAAGGTAAAGACTGAAGACTGGAGTTTGCTTTGATAAAATGTCGTTGCAACCTTAAGAACTATCGAGAAGTTTCAAAAATCCTTCTGCTATCGGAAAGAAAAAAATAGTTTTCGTGCTAAAAAATTAAGCCAGGATTTAAAAAAAAAGAGTAAAGTGTAACCATTAAGTAAATTTGGGAAACGAATTCGCGATGAAAAATGAAACACGCTATAAAAATATCAGTTACACACTTTCAATAAAAAAAAATTAAAAAAGACTAAAATACGCGCCGTCCCCCCCAAAAATTTAACTTCTGGAAGTATTATTACTTTAGTCGCGAAAGGCGATGAAATTATGTGAAAAACACTGGAACGCAATTCTAAACTTTTTTTTCTAAAAACTCCTTTTATAGTTCTACAAAGAGTAAACAATTATATTCTGTCGTGATTCCACTGAAGAATATGGCTTGCAGAGATTTGCTTGATTAAGCTGCATGCATGGTTATACTTGACGCTTTTGGTTGTCCATAGGAACTCGATGTTCCTAATTATTTGATTAATTTGTACAGATTTGGTCTGCATTTCCTACGGTGCTTCCTAAATCATTTACATTAACTTTTTTTGCATTGGTTTAACTTAATATCTGCCGTTTAACATTCCGTCAGAATTAATTTAAGGCGGTTATTAAAATAATGCTTCTTAGACAGAGAACGAAAATTTTGCTTGGTAACGTAAAACATTGAACCCGCAAATTATAATTACGCTTTGTCGGCGTACCAATTAAAGACAAGGCGGAATTTGATGATGATTTCACAAAACGTTTACGCTTCCTTCGTAAATATGACCTTATTTGAATTAGAAAATTCCCCTTCAGTCGGTAAGACGCGATTGTAATCATGGAAGTACTGAAAATCCTAAAACGCACCAAAACTAACTACGGCCACGGAAATGCGGAACTATACTATACTCCTAATTATGCACCGGTTTAAGTTTTAGGTTTTCTAATTCCCTGTTATTGCGATTTTTTCATACAATCATGTTCAGGGTTCATGTATTTTTTATGGAAAAACTGCTATAACAAGATCATAAAACGATAGAAAATACCGAGTAACGATAGAAAATGACTCGTCGGCTTTATTTCCATGAACTTCTTAGGCTAGTTATCAGTCAGAAAAACTTGTCTTGATGGTCCACAAAATTATTCTTATGTTTTTGCTTGAGACCGACCGAAAAAAAAAAAGTGTACTTTTGTTTTTNACATTGAACCCGCAAATTATAATTACGCTTTGTCGGCGTACCAATTAAAGACAAGGCGGAATTTGATGATGATTTCACAAAACGTTTACGCTTCCTTCGTAAATATGACCTTATTTGAATTAGAAAATTCCTCTTCAGTCGGTAAGACGCGATTGTAATCATGGAAGTACTGAAAATCCTAAAACGCACCTAAACTAACTACGGCCACGGAAACTCCAAAGGGAACTATACTCCCAATTATGCACCGGTTTAAGTTTTAGGTTTTCTAATTCCCTGTTATTGCGATTTTTTCATATAATCATGTTCAGGGTTCATGTATTTTTTATGGAAAAACTGGATAAAAAGGATATTTGCTATAACAAGATCATAAAACGAAAGAAAATACCGAGTAACGATAGAAAATGACTCGTCGGCTATATTTCCATGAACTTCTTAGGCTAGTTATCAGTCAGAAAAACTTGTTATTTAACTGTCCACAAAATTATTCTAATGTTTTTGTTTGAGACCGACCGAAAAAAAAAAGTGTACTTTTGTTTTTGTAATAACGTCTTATTTTCATATGAGGCCGCGCTGGAGCTTATCTTTGTTAATTTTGTGGCCAGAACTAAATCTCAACAACTGTAAACGTTCTCGAAATCTTGATTAGTAAAGTGTATAACATGATAGAAACATCTTTAAAAGGTTTCACAAATTTTCTGATTCTTACGCTTCATCACTATTATGAATGCTGGGAAACAAAAAGATTTCGAGGGAATTGTGATACAAAAAAATGCTTTAACTGGACAATCTAATGAGCTTCATTTATCGAGCTTCGGTTATCACCCCCTAGGCTAGTCTCCCTCGCAGCCGTTTTTTTAGACGTCACGCAACGCTCCCTCAAAAGAAAAGATTGGGAGAGCGTTGCGTGACATCCAAAAAACGGCTGCGAGGGAGACTACCGTCAGGCTCGATTATATAGGGATTCCATATCGGGGCCTTATGTATCGGTCAAATCGAAGCTTCAACATGCCCCCTCCCGGGCAACCCCCGGGCATTTGACTTTTTTTTAAATTATTGTTCAAATTCCCCCCTACCCGGGCCAAAATACCGCTCAAATGCCCCACACTAGGGTCCATTCAGGTGATCAAATGCCCCCACCCCGGGGACATTTCACAGGCACATAAATGACAGAAAGAAGGTGGAAACGCCTTCAGTTGTCGAACAAAATCTTTATAAATATAACAAAAACTGAGAAACACTGTTAGCGTATTTACTACGAACAAAAGTCTCGTGCAAAGCGGCGGAAATCGCTGCTACAAGGTAACTGAATGCTCAGCTTTTTTTCGTCATGCAACATACAAAGCGTTCTATAAAAAAATCCCACCTATTGAGATTACAACATCATGACCATTTCACTGACATGCATCATCGCTCACCTTATTAATTAACATACTTGCAGTAGGTTAAAGTAGTTGACCTGAGCTTTTTATTTTATTTTATGTTGTTGTATTGAATCGTCGGTATAGGTATTGTATTTCATTGTAAACACAACAATAAAATACATTCATACATTCAAAGCCTGAATCCAATATTAAAAATTTTAAAATTTAAAAACTTCAAATACGGCACAAAGCTTGTTTAACCCCTTTCCTCGTAACCAACTGACCACAAAGGCACAATCTTTTCCACGAAAACCCTCTAACACCGCGTCCCCCATGGTAGCTCGCCACGCCAAAGATTTTCCATGAAATCGAGGGTGCAGTTCAAATCCCCCACCCCTAAAGCATGGGGATCAAATTTCCCCACCCCCTGGAAGACTCTGATAATCAAATTCCCTCCTCCCCGGGACGGCAAAGGTGTCAAATGCCCGGGGTATGCCCGGGGGGGGCATGTTGAAGCTTCGATTTGACCGATACATTATTCCGGAAATGTGACATAATTTGGTGTTATTACATGTAAGCCCTCGCCCCCTTTAAAGGTTATTGTTAAGGCTTACAATTGAAACAGATTATCAACAGACAAAACATAGTTCCCATTTTGCATAATTCTATTCAATTCTCTTCTCCGCTGATTGACGACTAGATACCCTCCCGATAAGTTGGGATCTGGGGACGAGAATGTGTGTCCCCGTGATAGTGAAATCACGTTACGCGGGTTCAGGATCGTGGAATTATCGTAAAAAGAGGTCTTCGTAAACAATAACTGTGCCCTTAATCGGTAGCCTGCGCCACAGACGGAACCAAACCTCTGGCGGTTGAGTTCGTCCGTGAAACAGCGATGAAATCTTTGTTTTAGGCCCCAACCCCTAAACAAAAATTTATAGCCAAAATTTGTAGCCTTCATTGTCCTGATCTAGTGATTTAATATTACCCTTAGCTGGTGAATCAATGCCTTCCGTTTGAATGGCCTTTCCCCTTTTCATAATTAGGGTTGTCTATTTATTGATTCCGAATTCCATACAAATACCAGTGCTTATTAGTCTGGCCGATTGCACCAGGTTGTATTTATGATCCTCTTTTATGCCATACAACTTTAAGTCATCCATGTACAATAGATGGTTAATAAGTCCCTTTCCTTCTCCAAGGAGCACTTTAACCCTTTCACTGCCAAATGAGGCCAAAGGCAAATTTCGACCAAAGTTCCAAATTTCATTTTCTAAAATTTTGAGAAATAAATGGCATCATGTGAAAGTATAGGCAGAGAGCTTTCATCTGAATGGTCACATCGTAGGATTTCGTCCATAGACTCAAAAGTTAGAGTCATCTTACAAAACCCCCTCAAACACTCTGGCAGCGAAAGGGTTAAGTCAGAAGGATCAATGACACAATAGAAAGAGGAGGCTATAGGCTGTATCCCAGGAAGATTCCCCTCTTGATGTTTACCTCGCCCAAAAATTTTTCCGCCATTACGTTTATATGATTCCTTAGACATAGGAATTTTCAAACCTAGATGTACCATCCTTAGCTAACATGCAAAAGAATCTTCTGTATTTTAAGTATTACCTGTGAAGAATACCGTGGTGGTTTTATTGAGCCATTTAACAGATTGCAAAGCAGGTGACACAGTTGAGAGGAGAAAGGGTTTCGTTACACTTTTAAAAGTAGTCTGCGTTTAGGGATTTATTCGGAATTCTCATTAAAGAAATCCCTTGAAAGCGACGACACTACATTTAGTCCAGTGATAAGGCTTAGAAATAGGCTCCAACTAATCGCACTTTTGTGAAACATAAAGTGAACTACAATCTTAGTGAAATTCAAGTTAAGTTCCATCTCTTTGATATCAAGGTCATTATAAATTTAAGTATATGTTCGTAGACTATTCGTTGATTATTTGACGACTTGCTTCGCAACGACTTGTGACCCTTTAAAAAAGCTATAAGAAAGTTTTCTGTTCTAAATTGTTGGTGGAGGCGGTCTTGACATTAATCATCAATTATTCATCCTGGACTTTGACTGGAACGTGGTGTGAACAGATTGGTGTGTTTCAAAAACTGTAAATTGTAGACTTGTATAAAGGCTTTAACGTACCCTCAGAAATACGAGTGTTTAAAAATGTAAAGGTAAAGGATGTGAAACATTTTCTTGTGCTGGAGCATTACATGCACGAACAATTAAACCAGTACTTCAAGTTATCGAAAACAGTCAAAATCCCCGAGTAAGAACCTCGTTTTCAGTTAAGAACCTGTTGCATATAACGCACCCTCTATACAAGAACCTGTTTAGCCTATTTGAAACTGAGTCTCTTATTTTCTAAAATCTCTAGGGAAGAAATTCAGTACACTTGGGCAAATAAGGTAAGGATCCTCTTTAAAGACATAGTTGCCTTGTAACTCTAACTGTAATACTATTGTAATGGTATAAAGGTTTTGCCTAAGAAATGAGCTGAATACCACTAAATACTCTGAGCTAGAATGCATATTCTTCTTCAAAAAATAAGAACCTGTTTCAGAACTAGAACAGCCTAAATTTGTGCTAATTACTATTTATGTAAGAACCTGTTTTTAAGAAAAAGAACTTGTTTAGGCTAACTTGGGAAAATGAAGGTTATTAATAGCGGGTTTTTATTGTATTGTGAAATTCCGCTTTTTCCCACGCAGAAAAGGGTTTGGGGCTCGAAAAGAGAACTTTAAATGATGTTTAACTTATTCCTTGTGATGGCAATTATAGGAACGGAAGGCCTGATTTTAATGATTCGTCTACTGGATTACTCTCTGTTTTATAAGAATATATGATATGGGAATATCGAGGCTGAAAATTTCGAAAGTTTAAGAATGTTTAAGAATAACCTGAGGCCGAAATCATGACAAGGATATAATTTTGTGTGTTGAAAATCTGTAAATACAATACAATTACATGTTTTTGATTTAACGGTATAAAATCATTCCATTCTCTAAGCGGTAAAACTAGCCAACAAAAAGAAAAAAACCTACGCTAACTGTAATTGATAGCCCAATGCATTCTAAAACGGAAATTTCATAAGCTATAATTTAAAAATAATGCAGGAAAAAAGAGAGCTACTTTAAAAAAACTGCAAAAGGAAAAAAAAGTCGAAGTAATACAAATTTAATACCAATTGTATAGATGCAACTAGAGCGTGAGATACAAGTCCTTCAGCAACGCCCTCCTGTTTGATCTTACTGAGGTTAGAATTCCAAATTGATATTATAAACTAGGATTACCACGAAGCTGTTTCATTTTAACAAAAGTCACTGGATTAGACTTAACAGACGTAGGTAAAGTAACTCTCCTATTTTTTGTTGTTGTTTTTCGTATCAATCAGCCAATAGGCAGTTCTTCACTCTAGTAATTTCGTAGGGAATGCTTTTATTAATGACATTTTTTTACCAATATTTGGCGCGAACAAATGATTATTTAAGATAAACGACAAGAAAATGTTCGTGTGTAAAATCGAATGGTATACTCGTGAAATTAGGGAATAATTTCACGCGCCTTTTGTTAGGATTTGGACAAAACGTAAGTGAAATTTAATGTATTTCCTAACTTCACGAGTATACCCTTTGATTTTACATACGAACATTTTCTTATCTTAAATGATCATTTGTTCGCGAATCTTTCTTGATGTGCTCTTTCGTGTGTTTAGGTTTTCTAAGAGTCTTTTCTTGTATTTTAATTTAATGCCCTGACATCTTCAGATGATGAATATTATTGCTTTCAATTTCAAATTTAGTGAATCAATATTTTGGGGCCAAAGTTCTTTTTCCTAGAGATGAAAACTTGAAAATGTTCACTGTTTTAATCTGAATAAAGAACAGCAGGTTCTAGCCTTTACGTACACCTATAAGGCGATTTTCATGCATTGGCGACTAAACAAGGGGCAGATTTAGTTTCAAAGGATTTTTGTGAAACAACAACAACAACCCTTATTTACTTCACATAAATGTATAAGATAGTGCCGAAACTGCAATTGTCATAATCATTCTCTAAACAGGCAGTTCTAACTGCTTGTTTAGGGAATAATGATAATTGTAGTTTATCATTATTTTTGCTTTAATTGCATGAAACAAGTGGAGGGCTTGCACACTGGGTTTAGATCGTCTTGATACTATAGCACCATCTTTCAAAATACTATGAAACGCAGCTTTTTAAACAGCTATTGACATTTTGTACAGGTCCAACGTTTCAGCGTTCAGTGTTGACGACCATGCAGATGGTACCTAATATCACAATGGTTAGTAAATTGACGCTGTTTTTAGTCCTCGCGGCCATGTGCAAAGGGGATGAAACTGATTCAGTCAGCAAAGAGCTTGGAAAAGGAGTCGATCTACGGAAGATTAATTTACTCGGTGACTTCCAAGAAGCAGAGTCCAGCGTATTTGAGCCCTTACCTGAAAAGTGCTTTAAAAGGAAGAAATTACACTATACAGGCAGCAACTTCGACTACTACGCAAGTACGAAAGCCTTTTATTCCAAGATGGCCCTCGGTGCGGGCTTAGATGCCTCGTTGGAATCGGGCTTCACACTGGGTGCTACACTGAGCAGTGTTGTACAAAAAACAGAGTCAAAAGAAACTCAAATAAGTGGTATGTCCTTAAACATCCGCGCGCTGACAGAGAAGTTCTTGGTCACTAAAGACTGTTTTCACAACGAAGAGCTCTCTAACTTATCCAAAAATCTCGTTGAAGATTTCGAACGCCTGCCTATGACAATTAGCAAGCCCTGGCTGGCGAACTCTTGGAAGGCCTACGGTGTATTCTTAGAGACATATGGCTCTCATGTTGTAACGACCGTGAAGCGTGGAGCAAGTATAAGGCAGACAACGTTTGCCGAAAGTTCTAAATCGTACAGTCAGAGAGATTTTCAAGTGAAAAGCTGTGTATCTCTGGCTGGTCCCACAAGCGTCGGAAAGGTTGGCGTTAAAGCGTGTGCAAATGTAAGCAAAGAGGAAGTGGCTAAAACATCTAGCATGAACACAGTGGATAACATTGTTCTTAGAGGAGGCACCCTGGAAACTCGAAATGCGCTGAGGGGAGACAGGACGGAAAAACTCATAGAGAAATTTTTAAACGAAGCTGGTAAGTCGGACTCCGCCATAGAGCACACGTTCAGATCATTGTGGAGCATTCTACAAAGTCGCTTTGGGATCGGTTCAGACAACTACGTCAGGGCTGTAAACTTGCAGTACTACTATCTCGGCTACTTAAATTACGGCTGCCGTCACAGTGAGAGTGGAGGAGTTCATATACAGAAATTCGACTACACCAAATATGCCCAAAAGCAGTCTCCAGATTTTGAGTGCACTCTGGCTGCAGAAGGTTGCCACTCTGACAGCGACTGCCATTACAAGGTAATATGGTGTTCTTGCCGTGGGAGTTCCTGCGTTCGCTACAAAAAGGAAAAAGAAGACTCAGGGGCCATAAAAACCATCGCTTACGCAAACACTGACCACGACTGGAGGAAGCATGGCTGCAAATTGCACTTGGTTGGATCTTTGTGCAAGTGTCACAACCATAATGAGCCAAAAGTGGTGTGGAGGATACCCAGCAGGGATTTCCCGCAGAACGACAGGGGCGACGCAGATTTCGATACCCCGGATGAAAGCGACAGTGGACAAGCAGAAGAGGAAGAGTACGATGACGAGCCAAATTGATCAAGGTGATCTCACATGCGTACAAAGCTCAAGAGCTCAAGAGAAAAATGCATTGTAGTCTAAAATTACATATTAAGAAGTTCAGATAGGGCAAAAGTTGTTCAAAATAATTGGACCAACATTAAAGCAGTATAATTGACATTTCAGTTGAACGTTTTTTTGCGTTTCGCCCTAATACCACTTTTTCTCTGCGAAATTTATGAAATTTATAAACTGTACAATGTCCTTAAACGTAACGTATATTACCTAGCGCCAATTATTTTGAGACCGTGAGTGCATTTCTTTTTCTCCCCCCCCCCCCCCCCCCCCCCCCCCCCCCCCCTCCCCCCCCCTTCCCTCACTCTCACGGTCTAACAAATATGATTATCTTCGCCCCACCAACTACGAAGTGTAGTAGCTTTCGTTGCGTTCTTTCTTATGATCGAAAGTACCAGAGATACAATAATGAATACGAAGTAGCAGAATACTGTT